GAAAACATGCGACAAACCCTGCGGATCATGGAAACAAACACATATGACCTTTCATGAGCAGCTAAATGCTGTGTGCCATGACTTTGTGTCTCACAGCTTGGCACTGGCAGGTCTGCCTTGCCTTCGAAAAGCACATGCAGTCATGAATAATTAAGAAGCCGGCTCTTCTCATAGGATGAGAAAACTCCCCTATGAATAATAATGAGAAACCAATGCATCATCTTTGCACTTGCAGTTCTGCGCTACGTCGCCGATTTTGATCCCACTCCAAAAATCATTTTAAACCCAAAAGCTGAAATTAGCGGACAATTAAAATTATCCAGTTTTCCCCACAATTAAAGCTAACAGGTGCTAACATTGTCTTAACTGATGCTCAACACACAAATCTGTTAAAATCTCAAAATAAAGTACTCAAGGGTTTCCTGAACCTTTAACCTAGTCAAGTCTTTAAATGTCACTTTAAGCTGTATAGAAGTGTCTTGAAAAATATCTAGTAAAATATTATTACTGTCATCATGGCAAAGATCAAATAAATCAGTTATTAGAAATGAGTTATTAAAACTTTTATGTTTCGAAAAGTGTTGAAAAAAATCTTCTCTCAGTTATTATTATTTTTTCAAATATTCACATGAAAACTTATTTGTATGCCTAAAATGTTGAAAATGGATAACAGCCAATTTTATTGTCTCATCAAACTACTGGTATAGTTCTCCCAAAAATTTCAATTGAATCAACATTTACTAATCCTCTAAACATGAAAGAAGATACTTTGAAGAATTTTGGAAACCGGTTATCATTAAGATCCATAGAAAAAGCAAATACTATTAAAATCAATGATCAACAGTTTTCAAAATTATTTTGTTTTCAAACATATTTTTTGTTCAAAAGGAAAAATTTATTTTAAGTTAGTAGTTTCATGAATTACATATTACAACATTTATCTTCCTAAGGTTTGACATTTACAATTTATATTTTAAATCAGTTGTCAAATATTAATATAAAACCATGTTTTGCTAAATTACCTTGCTTTTAAAATGCCAAACATCAGGATTTGCATGCATCGTTTCATCGCCATATTATTATTACAACAATTTGATAACTCAACATTAAACTGACCATTTAAACCAGAATTTGCAGTCTGTTACTGTCAATTGTAAATCTAGTTTAATCTGACTGACCATCTCAGACGTTGAGCAGTGTATTTTGTATGAGGCCAACCATCCCAAAAAATAACTTTGAAATCTTTGTCATTCTACACTGAAAAAAATTATGTCTGCAAAATTGTTGTAATGTGTGTTAAATTGAATAAACAAATAAAATTTAGTAATGTTTAATTTAATTTGTTTGTTAAAATTCAGCCCAAATACATTGTTTACAACCTTTAACTTAGTAAAACTAAGTAAATCTTTGAATAATTTCTTTTCAGTGTAATAACAGAACTCTGTAATTGCAATAAATCTATATTAAATGCATTCTTTTCTGTTGTTAGTCTTTGAAGGCCTTCTCTTTTAGATCAAATGATTTTTATGCCTATATGAAAAAAAAGGTGAATCATTGATAATATAGAAGTATGAATGCTACATGCTTTTACTCTAAAACAAATAGACATTATGGCTGCTGGAGATGTGGGAGGTACATTATGAATGAGATTTGTCCAGCTACTTGATTATCCTCTTCAATTATTAACAGATTCTGGTGCTTCCCTTTGCCTTCCTACCCCCCTCAGCCTCTGTAGACTCTCTTTGTTTCTCACTGTTATGTTCATGAGCTCAGCATGTATGTGCACAGAAAAGTGGAAATGTCAGAACATTGAGCTGATTATTCAAGGTTAGTTCTCACCTAGAGATCTAGTTAGTGCTGGACCTAAAGGGACTGTTCTCCCTAAAAATGAAAGTTCGGGTTTCTGTTAAACACAGAATGAGAAATTTGAGATTTGAAAGTTTTGAAAAAAAAACAAAGAATATAATGTATTTGCTAAAATTGATAAATTGATAATTGAAAAATTTAGCACAATAAAAATTTTTAATTCATTTTATTTTTTTATTTTAAAATTTTATTTATATTTATTTTATTTATATATACACTAGTAAAGGATATTATGGTGTCACATATAAATAATATATACAATATTTTTTTCTTTTTTGTTCGGTTCTATACCAGAATGTGTTGACAAAAACATGTCCTAATGCAATTTTTAATGTTTTGTTGTATCAGGTAATATGTACATTACCCTTGGGATGTTTGGGGTCAGTATTTTTAAATATTATATTATTATTATTATTATTATTATTATTATTATTATTATTATTATTATTATTATTATTATTATTATTAGATATTATGTCTTATGAAATAAACAATAAACATATGTAAATTTTATCTTAATACATGATAGCTTTTCAGGATAGAAGCTTCAACGGATCAGTTGAGTGGAATGGGAATTATTGGAATTTAAACTAATTCTAAAATGCAGTTTATTCCTGTGATAGATACAAAATGACATCAGCACAGATTAAATCAAATATCTAGTGCTGTCTGAAATTCACCTCTAAAAGTTGTGTTTATCTCAGCCTATTTAGGTTTAATTATTTTACTTTAAAGACAATGACTTAACTTTTTGTTCACTATAATCTTCTATGTGTAGCTGCTTTGACACAATCTACATTGTAAAAGCGATATACGAATAAAGATTAATTGAATTGAATTTGCCATAAGAGTAAAATTACTAAAGTTACACACAAAAGCCTGAGAAAAATTTACATTTTAGATGAAAATCTCAGATGGCATTTAGAGATTTTTGCATCTGAACTCCTCGTGCTCTATATGGTTTTAATAAGCATTTATTCTCAAAAATGTTCTTTATATGTTCCTAGAATGTGCCACCAAACGTTTTACAGTATTGAAAATGCAAACAAGGGTGTTAAAGGTCCTTGTATACAGTAAATGTTGACAGATTAAGATCATCTGCATATTACAAAGCCTTCTATTTAAAAGTAAAGAGATCATTTGACTGTTTTTTTCAGAAATCCACCAGACTAGAAGGGCTTTTGTTATCTATAGTGTGATTTCAACTGTTCCACGGACAGCCTTTATTTTACTTTAGTTTGTTTTGTCTTTTGTTTTCCTTCGTTGGCTGGTATATGGAGTGTGGTATAGCTATACTAGAAACCGTCTTTCTTCAGATGCCTCGTCTTGCCTTGTCTAACCACAAGATCAGCTTGGACAAATACCTGAATACAGCACACATTGTCAGTGTTAGTTTGTCTTGTCTTGATTTAAATACTTGAGGCTGTGGTTTCCGGCTTGTAATCAGGGCACAGCTTTTAGCAGCAGGTCTGAGTGGGTTTTCAAGATGGTAGATGTGAAACGCGATACTTCAGTGGGTTCCATGATGATTAAATGTTACTGCATTGCCCCTTTATTTACACCGTTCCCAAAAACTGCATAAGAAAGAAGAGGAAAAATATCCAGTTGCAAGAAAACCGAAATAGGTAGAACACTGTGTTCTCTTGAGCCGTGGTGCACCACATTTTTGCAACTTTGTTCTATAAGAACATGACAATCACTGTTTAAAAGTTTTTACTCTAATGCTCTATGGGTTACTGTAGACTCCCATGACAGGAAAATAATAATGAAAATGGGAAAAAACAAACACTATAGGGGGGCAGTGCACCTGCTGTTGGTAACATAATGTTCTTTGTTGGTTATGAGCTGTTTTATTTGGTGATTAGATGTGACTTGGGCTCCGCATCATAGTCCCTTGTGTTGTGATGAGAAATGAAGCACTGTGTCCCATTACATTAATGGTTAGGAAGGTTAAAATTGTTTTCATTACTGTGAAGTTCTGTCTGAGCTGCGTTCTTTCTGTGAAACTGTTCAGAAGAGATCTTTTTCACATCGGATATGGTATTATAAAATCTATTTCTTTGAAGTACGTCTAGTGAAGAGCTCAGAATGTGTTTTTTCCCTTTACGACACTTTGTATCAACCACACTTTTTGTTGTTTGCTTTGGTGTAGCATCCAGGCACAACTAGGATGACAGTCATTATATTTAAAGTGCACTTTTAAGGACACAAAATCATCTTTTGGAAGCTGGTTGAACAGAACTGTGTGTAGGTATAGTGTGTCCACTTTCACATTGCAGTGATATAAACAGAAGTCTATTTTTTTATATATTTTTTTATTTCCTGACGTTCAAATAGGAACCAAATCCCAGTGATTTAGAGGCCAACCATGACGTGATGTAGAGTAGGAGTGTGGTTTTCCCCATTCACTGAATTGATTGACAAGATCTTATTAAAATGTCTCCATAGTAACGCATATGAACATGTCCACAGAACAGGATTTGCAAAGATATTGGGATTAAAAGTTTTGTTCCAACTCTGTGATCAGCTGCACCTCAAGAATGGGCATGTTTGTAATTAAGTCAGTAAATTTGCTATGTAATTCATAATCGCTGGAATCACTACTGCCTCATAAGGTGAGTAAACGTGCGTGTTTGTATTGCAAATTTTGTAACGGCATTAAAACTCCACCACAAATACATTCAATAAACATATTTGGTATTTTTGAATAATGAGCTTTATTTCAGCTTCATCCGTCTTCGTTTCTGTCACTGACTGCTGTTTATCTGATGTGATGCATGAAAAGCAGACATGCTTGTGGGTGGGGAGAACCAGATCATTTGTATTTAAAGGCACAGGCTAAAAAAACTCTGAGGCCAAAATAGGCATATTCTACTATTTTTAATAATGTTGATTGGTATTTTGAGCTGTAAGACTGGACAGACTTTTTGTAAAAGGGGTAAAACCAGCACCCTTAAAAGAGCACCATTTTGCTTGAATGTTACCTTAAAATGCTTTTGCAAAACACTGAATGCTTGCTATATCAGTAGATGTACTCCTGATATAGCAAGAGCACAAATTAATATTCATAAGTCAGGCTGATATGGTGTATGTACGATTCATGTCTATACAATAATACATCTGTTCTCTTGCAGGAATTGGCAGATTTGCGGCACGTTCACTCCAAGGTGAAGAAGCAGTACCAGGAAAAGATGGCCGAGCTCACACATGCTAACCGGCGTGTAGAGCAGCATGAGGCAGAAGTGAAGAAGCTGCGGCTCAGGGTGGAGGAGCTGAAGAAAGAGCTGGGCCAGGCTGAAGATGAGGTGAACACAAGCATTTACTTCATATTTAATTCTTATTACTTAGGTGTAACCTAATCTAATCGGATACTCAAAAGTATTAAGGGACTTTTAGTTAAAATGCTTTAACTCAATAATTCCATCACCTGTTTTTTTTATTTATTTTTTTTTATAAAGGACAATGCACATTTATTAACTTTACTGAAAAATGCCAGAACTACCCAAAAATGGCTATTTTTTTTCATCTGTAGACCCTTGACAATGTTAGAGTAAACACCTAAAATAGAAACAAAGCATAATAACACAAAATGCACTATCATATATATTATTTAACCAGTGTGTATGTGTTTGTATAATCCGTTAACAGCAAGTTTGTTAGGTATTTAGATGCAAATCATTTTAGGAAGCTGCCTTCTGAATTTTTTCTTTAGACATATTATGTGTGTAAATTATGTCATATTATTATATTATATTATATTATATTATATTATATTATATTATATTATATTATATTATATTATATTATATTATATTATATTATATTATATGTAAGGGGTATTCAACGACTTGCCATGCGTTAAAGGGTTTTAATGCACGACGTGGGGGAGAAACGGAGTGTGTCTTTGCTGTAAAATATGTAGGGAAATTTAGCAAAAGAAAAACATATTGGGACAGGTAAGAGAAAATTCTGCTTTATTTATCTTCTTTAAAACAAAAGCAATAATCCAAACATCCAGTATCAATTTAATATTACATTATTTACGGTCATAAATTAATTATGAAAAAATTACACCTGACAACAAATAATAGGTTCAAAAGTCCAAAGACTGACCGTTAGATACACAAAAGATTAATTATACATCTTGTTTTAACAACAGAGATGCAAGAGATTAGATCCAGCTATAGGTCCTTAGATGGTCTTCCCGATATAAAGCTTTGCTCGGGAGGGGGGAGCCGTTCGCGGAGCTGTCGCTGACTGTCTGGAGCTTCCAACATTTTTAAACACTCACTATCCTTTTACATAAACTGCCGATTTGACTTTAAAATAGCTAGATTCTCGCTTGAAAAACTTTTTAAACTTGATTTTGTGGCATAATTTAGGAGTATTTTCCTAATTTTGCAGATTCCTATCGAAATTCTAAACTCTGGGATTCTAAATTCTGGAACTACCTGTACGTTTCAACGAAAATTATGCACACCCTCCAGCCAATCAGAATCAAGAATTTCAAAAAACCATGGAATATTATATTATATTATACAACATTGATTTTAGATTTAAAAAATGCATCAATATTAATTATTCTATGCTAGACATAACCACCATTATTAGATAAAAGAAAAATGTCAACCCATTACTTATCTGACTGTCAGACTAAATAACACTGCGTTAGTGACATGTTTAAATTAGCAAAATTCAAAGCCAAAAATATATTCACTATGCCACAGAAAACCAAATTTACATGTAACTTTGCTGTGCATAAATGTGCGTAATTCAGATCAGTGAACATAAGCTTCACTCAAGCTCTGTCTGTCAGCGGTAATGTTAATGGCCAAACTCACTATTTTGCATTTGTTTCAGTTGGATGAGGCCCATAATCAGACCAGAAAGCTACAACGATCCCTGGATGAGCAGGTGGAGCAATCCGAGAATCTACAAGTTCAGCTGGAACACCTACAATCCAGGTAACCAGACCGATATACTGTATATGCACACTCGACAGTCTCTCTGTAGCAGGTAAACTGTTGTGAAGTGTTTTTCAGAATGTTGTGTTCCGTTCGGCTCTCTTTTGATCGGTAATGAATGCAGGATAAGCTTCTCTGTTACACAACATCATGAATAAGATGGCAGGTTTATAGTGTAAACTGTCAGCGAGTCCCTCTCTCATTATTCTGCTTGCATTCAAGCTTGCACCTACCAGCAGCCAATCCCTGGCTGCCAGGCTGTGGGTTACCGTAGTAACAGGGAGACTGGAAGCAGTGTTGTGGGCGCAGCTGGAGAGAGCAGTGATGGGCATGTCGACACGCCACTGTTTATAAGAACTAGTCATGATACTGGATTTTCTAACGTAAATTAGGAAATAATCTAATAGCATTCATTAAAATTGCCATTTTTAATGCATGTCTTAATTTGTTAAAGGTTTGCTTGATATTTTAAGGAGTTTTACTACAGGTCAAGTCAGGCCTGTTGACCAGATTTTTACTTTCCCTGCCAGGGTTAATTAATCTAAAACCCAGTCAGATCACACATTATTTATTGTCGGTTATGAAAGTCACTACTGTATGTCAGATTATGTGATTTTGTGTTGATAAAGTCTTGACTTGTCGTGTTAACAAATCTGCCAGACTACACGCTCTTCAAGATCAGTCATATCATGACTTCTAAGATGAGCATTATTTCGCAAAGCAGTCACAAGTGTTGCTATAACAATATTTCTTATCTCAATTAAATTTTTTTATATCAATATCAATAAACACTAATGCTTGCAGACATCTAATAACTATGTTATTTAAGGGCAATCATTACGACATGGATATGATCAAATGTATATTTTCTTTTTAATATTAAGATATTTTCTTTGAAATCTAAATGTATATTTTCCTAACAGGGTTGCTTATTAAACACTCTTTAGGCTGAACTTGCTGCGAGTGAGCCAGAGAAAATGAAAGCACATCAGCAGCAAGGAAAAATCAGATGCTCAAGACATAATCTTTAAAATAATGACATATTAAAAAATTTGAAAGTATATGACAGAGGTTTGTGATACAACAACTACAGTGAAGCATTCATTAAATCCCTAATTTCCACAAAGCGAAACAAATCATCCACTCATGTAGTTGAGTAGTGGACGGGCACAAACAAAAATATGGTCTTTTTAAAACTAATTTTAGACACTGACAAATTTGTATTATCTGACCAGGGCTTTATGTGCACATAATAAATGCTTTAAGTCAATAAATGCACATATGACAAGCACTCACCTGCCATCACAGTTTCAGTCTTCAATTTCAGCACAAAGCTGAACAATACTGTTTAAAGCTAAAAAGGAAAAAGGTAACACCAATTCTCACTATTAATATCAGCTAATTATTACAAAATTAAACCAATTATTACAATATTGACTGTTTATTTGTTCGTATAAAATACATATTCTGCATGATCATATTCTATAACCCTAATGCTACCCAATACCTAAACCAAACCATTACCTTAATAACAATGAGTAAGCAGTAAATTAGGGGTTTTAGGCAAAAGTCATAGTAAATGATTGGTTTAAAGAAAGAATTGTACTTTAAGAGTCTGACCAAAATTTATAATTGTGTTATTCTAATTGTGTTAATGTAATGTTTATGAGTTACAGTCATTTAATCATCTAAAACACTAGTCAGCGGTGTTTTAGTTTTTTTCACTTTGGAGAGTAATGCAGAAGAACTGTTCATTAAACAAAATGTTTTATGTAATTTTTAATAGAAAAATTTTCTTTGTTTTCAACCATATTCACATCCTTTGCTCAAATACCGTCAAGATCATTTGCATGCTTAAAATCTTAAAGGTGCAGTATGTAAGTTTGACACCCAGTGGTTAAACTGGATATTACAAACCTGGATCAAAACAAACGCAAGCGCAGGTTGCAAGATTGACGAACAACAGGGGTCCGTTCTTCGTACGTGGATTACTCAGTTAGCCGGATTTGGATACTGACGATTTGACACGATCCAGGATCGTTTCGTTCTTCAAAGCTGATCCGAGAGTTGTTGTCATAGCAACAGTTCTGCTAGGTCAAACCTGATCGGGAGCAGGTTCAAGTCATATAAACAGGATTAGATCAGCTCAGTTCAAGCAAAGATAATACAGAAAGTATGTACCGAATTCTGATATTTTCTTACAGTAGTAGTTATATACACTTGGGAAAATGGTACATTTTTTTAAACTATATATATAAAGTTATAGTCATTAATAAAATAAATTAAGTTATACATATTAATAAAACGTATGCAGTCTGCACCCTCAAAATGAAAGTACAAAGACTGCCACCTGGTGGTGCAGAGAAAACTTATTGATATGAACTTTTTAGATCGCTTTAGTACAAATTGTGTATAATAGAAATGCACAATATGTTTCCTTTTTTTTAAAGCAATAATACATTTATGCTGTCATAAACATGTTTTGATAGTTAATATGCCAGTGATTTGATGCTTCACAAAAGTTGCAGACGCCTTTACCAATATGAAAATGCTTTTGTAAACAACCAGTTATTCTTTACACCGATTAAAAAACGGCTACTATAATAAAGAAAATATTTTCTAAATTTAGAACTAAATACATTGATTTGCATTGAAATACATGATGAATACACTTGACACATGAACGTGGAAAGCCTGCAGCTCACAACAAATGTGTAAAGTTATTGCGTGTCATATTTAACAAACCGTTTACTGCTAATTTGATGTAATTTTGCTCAAATGGATAATTGAATATGAATCAGATGATGTCATTACGCTGCTGTGCCGTCAGCCAATCGTTGCATTGCTGATCATGATTTCGAGGATCGATAAATCTGTCCTTCACAACACACGCAGCGATCTCAGATCAGTTTATCCAGACATTCTAATCTGATTCGCGAACTCGTTTGAAGAACCAAATTAGCGAGAGATCAGTTATCAAGATTAAAAGATCCGGGATCTGCCAAATAATCTTAGATAATTTAAGCGAGGTACGAAGAACAGACCCCAGAAGTGAGTCTGACGATCGAGCCTAAACGCTTATTTAAATCGTGTTCTAAATAAAAGCAACTTCACATGATAGAAGGAATATTTTCCATATTAAAAGGAGTTTTTGTTCTACCCGACACCTTAAATTGGTATATCAGAAATGGCTTCTATTTCTTGCAGTTGAACAACAGAAAACTGACAATGATCACCTTAGGTAAACCTTATGTGCTTTATTCAGTGTTAAATGGTAACAATGTGAGTTTGATTGCTATTTTACATGACATTTTTTGCTATACTTATGAAAGCAGCAGCAGATAGTTCACCTCAGATCTTGAAAATAGAACTTTAGAACTACGATTCAAAACCAACACATATCATCTCACCTTACTTTTCAGATAAACAGGGTTCACTTGGAATGTTTCTTAAATATCTGTAAACATATTATGGTATTGTTTTTATTATATTAAGAGTCAAATACTTATATACAGCACCTTTAATCTTCAGGATTTTGAGCACATCCCAACCCTAAATATTAGCAGCTACATTAACTCTGTTTGCTCAAACACTTGGAAGCACTCTATTGGGTGTGGGGAAGTTGGTTCAATATACCTCTATGCATTACCATGAAAGGGAAGGAGTTGAAGAAAGGATGCAGGAACAATCGGCCGGCCCCTTTGAGAGGTGGGCCAGGGTTCAGCATGATTTCGGAAGAGCGGAGCAGGCCACGGGTGGAGAGGGTGACAGATGGAGCCCAGCGCTTGTCCAAGTTGTCATGGAGACGGAGGACGGTCTAGAGGCTGATTTGGAGTAAGAGTGACAGGAGAAGGCTGGAAATGACAGCATTAAGGAGCTGATAGTGCTTCGGTTGTTGAGATGATGTGGAGTTCACTCCCATATCTGATGCCACAGGAAGTTCAGAGTTGCATCTTTTTTTTCCATGCTGGCTGTGACTCAGCCCAATTTCAGCCCTGCAGCAAGAGGACCATAAACAGCGCTATCTGCTGTGGACACGCAAAGGAGGATCAGATCTCCTGATCCTACAGGGTGAAGCTGCTCAGCGTCCTGCTCGCAGCGGCTCTGTCTGTCTGTTAGTCTCGCAGCGTGAGGCGGCAGCTCTGCTCAGCCCACCGGCAGCACCATTTGGCACCCCCACCGTGCCTATTTGCTTCTTTCTTCATCGGAAAGCTGTGAACTCAGAGTCTCTCATCTCTGTTTCACACTTAGCTGCTTGTTGTTGTTCTCAGTCCTCGCTGTTGTCCTCTCGGCTGACGTCCCTGTTCATATTCTCTCTTTATTCATGTCTCTCTCTCCTTTGCCTCTACAGAGACCAGATGGTAATTGACTGAATGTGCTTCAGTCTATAATCATAAAGTTGGTGTGTAAATCAATATATGAGGGCAGGCAATGCTCCTAGCTGGGAGTGGAGAAGCCTGCCAGATCTGCACCATATGCATTTAGCTCTTCTGTAGTTCTGCATACTGTATATGTTGACTATAAATGGGTTGCGTGCTAGATGAGAAGTACAGTAACTCGACACGTCCTGACACATCAAGCTGACGTCAAAGGGCTTTGTTTGTGTTGTTGTTACCTCACGTTGGCTGCATCTTGGCTGAAAAGCTGCACTTAAACGCACTAAAAGCACTGCAGGCGACTGGAAACTAGCACCCTGTGGCATATAAGGAAATAATTATTTGTATCAGCAGTTCAATAGCAGTATCAATAGGTTATTTTCTTCATTCAAAGCATGTAACTGGAAGTAGGTCTGCAGATATAAAGACTGTAAACAAAGCCAGGCTTGCATTCTGTTTTGAAAATTGGTTATCTCCAGCTGGCTCATGTTGTAATGAAAACATTTGCATATTGAAATGTTCAGATAAGATGACATAACATTAGAACAGCTTTCTGTGTCTGCGGCATCTTGATTTCTTAACTACAAATGAATCTATATACTCTTAAGAAAAAATGGCAAAAGA